TTTCTATTAAATGACCTGACTATGTCACTTTTACCATAGATCGCTATCGTATCCAGATTTTGGAATGGACCATCCGAATCCAGAATGAACACCCACTGTTTTTAGTAATAAAATGGTATTCCCTCATTCAAACGTTGTTGTTAACATCCAGTGGGTCGTGGCCATTTAAATGGTATTTAATGAAACGGAAAATTAACTTACTAAAACATCGACATAAAATATTAATATATTATTAACAAAAAAATTAAATACGTAAATTTGCAAGACAGACCCAAACATACATAAGTAGCAGACTTTTAAAATTAATAACAAACATAATTAGTATGTCCATGGCTCCTATGACCGCTTAACATCGTGTTGACCATGAACTTGTGCCCCATGTGCAATAGAAAAATATTTTTCCTCCTAACAAAGCAATGTATTATCCGAATCACCGAAGTTTATCTAACAAGAACTTTGTCATAATATACATACACTAGTGGTCCCGCAGTAGTCGAAATTCGACTATAATTAATTGAAATTGTAAGTTTGTACACTATTATGATTGTATTTTATACTTCTATAATCACAAATTTCGCCAAGACTACACTATAAAAATATTAACAAAGGCAAACAATATTTAATCTATTCTCAATTTGGCCACAGACGTCAAAAACAAAAGTTTGACAATAAATAGTATGCATGCGTGTGTGCGTCAAATACAGTAGTGTGTGTAATGTTTTCTTTATTGATTTAATGTATCTTTTATGCATTATTTAAACAAATATTAGCATTGTGCACTTCTTCTCTATATTCTCTATAAGTGTGGGAAATTTCATACTCCTCCGTCCGCGCAATTTTCGTAAAAAGGGATACAAAGTTTTTGCTTCACGTATTAATAATTAAAATAATATCTTATACAATGACATTACAGCTGGCATTCCAGTGAAAATCCTCATTTCACTTATCACCGCATTTGTGAGGTGTCTTTAGTACCCACCCGATACTAATCAAAATTACTTTTACTTATAAAAAAACTTTAATTTCCTTCGGAAAAAATTGTGACAAAACGTTTAGGTAATATCCGAAAGAAAAAAATATTTCGTTACAATTCTTTTAAAAAATCAGTACGGCGCTCAAGAAAGAATGCTTTATTCCGTCACGTAGAAAAAAGTAGTCATTATGAAAGACTTTTCCGCTATAAGATCCACTTATAACTCGGAGGGACGTGAGCTCGATTATCCATCTAAAAAAAAAACATAATGTTTAATTTGGACAGTTATGTGTATTCTTTCACTTCTCATTGGTTGAATGAATCAAGATCTGAAGTCTGAGTTCTAAATCTTAGTTTTACAGTACAACGCCTGCCTCATCATTCAAACCGAAACGCATTACTGCTTCAAGGCAGAAATAGGCAGGGCGGTGGTACCTACTCGTGCGGACTCACAACACTCCCTACCATCAGTAAAAGAGCATAGCAAATCGTATCGGTTATTTAAAAATGAACTTAGCGGTAGGCAGCGGCTTGGCTCTGCCCCTGGCATTGCTGAAGTCCATGGGCGACGGTAACCACTCACCATCAGGTGGGCTGTGTGCTCGTTTGCCTAAAAGGGCAATAAAAAAAACAAAATTGTTGTCACATCCAAGCCATTGAAGCAATTCCGATGAAATTCGATATGGAAATATTTTTCAGTTTGCGAAAATCTTCTCTTATCTCATAGCTGAACCCGGATCACTGGATGACGAAGGCGAAACTGAGCACTTAAACCTGATCCCAAAACGAAATAAAGAAACAAAACCATATTTAAAAGGGTTAAAGGAATAAAATACCAATAAAACTACTTTCGTTCAACGGGGTTAAGTTGTACGTGCCTTTATGACCTTACTAATCGGGGTGGGGTGAAACGTTAGAACCGAAGAGATGGGGCAAATATTTTGGAACATCGATATCGATATTTTTGCTTCTCTTAATATCGTAAACGCAGACGATCTTGGAACTTGATAGGCTGGTCGCAGAACTCAATGTGTGGCTTCTCTTTTCCGTGACGTAGTAATATTGGCTCCTATCATCCTGCCCCTGAAAGAAATATAGCCTTGTTGCTGACAAGAATCAATAGGGAGTTATAGGTAGCGATCTGAACGCAAAGGTATAATATATATTAAGGAGATCAGGGATCGCGTGATTCTATGCGGCTACCAACTTCTATTTTGTCTATAACCTGATTTCTGGCATTAGAATAACATTATAAGCTACATCTTAAATGTGAAAGAATCATTACTTCGTATTGGCAATACGAATTTTTGTTATGATTTTGTAAATATTTATTTTGTCTTGAAATATGTTACTTATTTTACTATCTAAACCCATTACCAAAACTACCACTATTTCACTAAAAATGAGAAATTTACGAAACCTAATTTAATCCTAAGCAATATGACAATTCTTTAATTACTCTTTTCTCTCAAGAAAAAGCTCTTCTTACAAACAAACCCGAAAGAAAATGATGATGAAGTGTTAAGAAGAAAAAAAAGCTCACACACATAAACATAACAACGTAAGTCGGAAACGAGCCGTAAAGCTCCCAAAGTATATTAAAGAGCTTATCAAACTTCAACACAATCATCGACTTAAAGCATATTTACATGACAATGAACATCACTAAAAAATTTTTATTTTTTTATTGCTTAGATTGGTGGACGAGCTCACAGCCCACCTGGTGTAAAGTGGTTACTGGAGCCCATGGACATCTACAACGTAAATGCGCCACCCACCTTGAGATATATGTTCTAAGATCTCAAGTATAGTTACAACGGCTGCCCCGCCCTTCAAACCGAAACGCATTACTGCTTCACGGCCGAAATAGGCAGGATGGTGGTACCCACCCGCGCGGACTCACAAGAGGTCCTATCACCAGTAAAGAAAAAAAAAGCGTAAACGAAATCATAACGAAACGCCACGAGCTGTTTTTTGCTCGGCAAACCTTCTGACATAAAACAGGTTATGCTTTTATAGCTAGTTGCCACGGCACAAATCGATCGGTTATCAATAATGTCAGTTGTCATGCGAGACCAGACAAGTCTCGATCATTCCGTTCGCATCGACGTGCGCCGTAATTAGTCTTAAACTGCGTTAACTTAAACGCCGCGTAATATAAATTGACGGATATATTATCGTTAACAATCCTGATATTACATTTGAAAGGATTTAATTTTAATTAGCACTCATATGCTGCTCCGTAATATCAGCTTCGAAACGAAGAATCCCTTTTTTGAAGTTAAGCTTCTAATGCGACTTCCAACAAGATTTCGTTAAGCGTTTAAGGAAATTTTAAGGACCGTTTAAGGGGGAATAGAAAGAGACAGAGTGAGAGTGAGAGTGAGCGTGGCACACGAACGCATGCGCGTAGTATACCTGTTACAGGCCAGCGTTAGCAACGAGTAACGTCCAATATTTTAAAGAAGTATTTAAAAAATACACACATTTATTTTTCTATCTATAATTTAAAATACATATAATATACATGTTACAAGCCTATTACAAGAGCAATCTGATTTAAGAATGAAAAATGAAGAAAATCACAATACGACACATCGAAAAAGAAGTTTCACTTCATTCACGTGCGCCAAGTTGCATGCGTACCGTTTTTTTTATCAAATACATTATCGGAATTGGTTTTTCGATAAAAATAATTTATCGTTGTGTCGCATCACTAGCGCGTGTAACAGTACACTAACGGTAGCGCGCCCCGCACTGGCCCCGCCTACGCGCACGCTACCCCCCGTGTACACCCGCTTATATTCTATATACGCCCTTAGGTATCGAAGATGAATTAACAAATTGACTACAGGGCTTCTGAGTATTGCGACTGCTGTATGTAGTCAACTTCTACACCTGTTCAAAGACTCTGCACTTTTTTCTTTGCAGTCGGTCTAATCACGTCCAATTGTATACCAATCACAATGCGTATTGCCATTTACGGTTACCGTGTATGATCTATGACGTCATTAAATTAGGCAAACGGGGTCACACATTACACATTAGGCAAACGGGTTTACTGGTGGTCGGACCTCTTGAGAGTCCGCGCGGGTAGGTACCACCGCCCCGCCTATTTCTGCCGTGAAGCAGTAATGCGTTTCGGTTTGAAGGGTGGGGCAGCCGTTGTAACTATACTTGAGACCTTAGAACTTATATCTCAAGGTGGGTGGCGCATTTACGTTGTAGATGTCTATGGGCTCCAGTAACCGCTTGACCCCAGGTGGGCTGTGAGCTCGTCCACCCATCTAAGCAATAAAAAAAAACATCGACAAAGACTCCAATTGATATTTCTGAAATCAACATTTAAGTATATTTAAGATGATTTTATTAGTTTGGCATGTGTGTTTGTATGTAGCGGATTTTTATTTTTAGAGACTTCATGCAGACGTCCCATTAACTTGACAATTCGTGCACGCGTCAAGGACCGATGATTATACAATCGCTTTATAACTTTTTAAATTGCTTAGATGGGTGGACGAGCTCACAGCCCACCTGGTGTTAAGTGGTTACTGGAGCCCATAGACATCTACAACGTAAATGCGCCACACACCTTGAGATATAAGTTCTAAGGTCTCAGTATAGTTACAACGGCTGCCCCACCATTCAAACCGAAACGCATTACTGCTTCACGGCAGATATGTGCAGGGTGGTGGTACCTACCCGCGTGGACTTAAAAAAGGTCCAAGCAATAAAGAAATAAAAACTAAAACTGTAATTATCTATATATTAATACGTGAAGCAAAAACTTTGTATCCCTTTTTACGAAAATTGCGCGAACGGAAGATTATGAAATTTCCCAAACTTATAGAGAATATAGAGAAGGAGTGCAGAATGCTAATTCTTTTTGTAATCATGCGTAAATAACAGATTCAATCAATAAAAAAACATTACTTACACTACCGTGTATTTGACAACATACAGAGCAACATTTATAAATCGATTTTCGTCTGGAATAGCGTTTAACATCACTATTTTTGTTTGTCAGGTGAAGATATGGTTCCAAAATCGTCGGAGCAAATACAAGAAGATGATGAAGGCGGCCCAAGTCGGAGCTCCCCCGCCCAGCCTGGGTCTCCCGCCCGGAAGCCCACCAAGCAACAACCAGCTCTTACATGGTTAGTCGCAGACCTGGTTTGAGAAGTAGCAATTGAGGTTTTAGAGAAGAGCTTAAGTATTTTACAAAGCCCACTGAGTTTCTCGCCAGATCTTCTCAGTAGGTCGCGTTTCCGATCCGGTGGTAGATTCTGCGTAGCATTACTTTTGCTAGGGCCAGTGTTAGCAACACTCCCCGTTTGAGCCCCGTGAGCTCACCTACACGTCAAGGAGAAGCTGAAATAGCATCTCAAGGCTCTAAGCATAGGCAGAAAAAAAAAAAATTTAGCTGTGTTTTTGGCATTTTGCCTCGGCAACGGTAACCAACAGCTATTCGATGGTCAATAAGCTCAAAGACAATGAAATTTAAGGTTAATATAACAGATTAATTTTTAATTTTTTTTATAACAGGTGGTGGAGGAAGTTCCAGTGGCTCCCAGCATTCACCTTCAGCGTACCAAAGTGGAGGACCGACGCAGGCTCACTCGCCCACACCCAGTTCGACACCCGTGTCGGAATTATCCCCCGGGCTGTCTCCCACTGGTACCCATTGGGACGTTAAGCAGCCCCCCCAAGCTTCTTGGGACGTAAAGGTCGGATATGTAAGAAATGCTTCATTATTTTACATAGAGTAAACATGTCGATGTTTTTTGTTAGATAAATTAAACCACATTCATTAAATACTAGCTGACCCGGCAGACTTCGTAGTGCATCAATCGATAAATAAAAGACCCAAACTTTTGTATAAAATAAACTTAAAACGAACAAAAGGAATCCGTCCGACGGAGGACACATCCAAGGAAAAACCAAATAGTTATTTTTATTCAATTCCGAGCATTTTCATATTTATCTAACCTTTTAAACCTTCTCTGGACTTCCACAAATAATTAAAGACTAAAATTAGCCAAATCGGTCCAGCCGTTCTCGAGTTTTAGCGAGGCTAACGAACAGCAATATTTTTTTATATATATAGATAGATAAATTGAAATTATTTGCACGTCGCCTTTTGTAGATTAATAGCTCTATACCAAAAATCTTATTTCAAGCGTCAACGACTGAACAAATTACATAATTTAAAAAAAACATCCAAACAATCGCTTTTATTGGAGAAACCATAATGTTATTATTAGGATATGTTAGGTGATTTAAGGACTCAAATCATGGTATTGTTACAGCCGACTGCGGGACGCTCCCCTGATGGGAGCTCGTGCGACGTCAAACCCCCTCACCAGCAATCATGGGACCCCCGAGTGGGATATGTGAGTTAATTTACTAGCAACTCATTATTTGTTATGGTTTTTTTTTAATTGAAATTTATGGGCGAAAGAACTCACGGTCCGCCTATTCATAAGTAGTTACTGCTGCCCCTAGGCATCAGAACGTGAATGCCACCTTGAAACATGAAGTCGACGCTGCAAATGTATTAGTCGAAGTTGTAATTTTATTAGTCACAGTTGCAAATGTGTTAGTCAAAGTTGTAACTTTATTAGTCACAGTTGCAAATGTATTAGTCGAAGTTGTAATTTTATTAGTCACAGTTGTAAATGTATTAGTCGAAGTTGTAATTTTATTAGTCACAGTTGCAAATGTATTAGTCGAAGATGAAACTGTTATGGTCGAAGTTTCAATTGCATTAAAACCCAAAAACTACGTCTGATTGGCTGTAGAAATAAGAAAGACTTAACCGACCGAGTAGCATTACCGGAATTTTCATAACTTTCTTTATACAACTATCCCAAACTAGAATTTCGTCTTGTATTGCGATCACCCTACACGATAACAAAAAGTACAGCACCAATAGCCCCGAACCCTGAACAAAAAAATAAAAAAAATACCCACACCAATCCATATCGGGTTTCAAATCCGGGATCCGCTATTCAGTGACCAGTCACAACACCATAGAGATACCCAATTATCTGTTTGAAGATTCCCCGAAATTAAGTCAACGTACATATACATATATAGTAAAGTTAGACTAATGAACGGTCACGGATGAACACTATTTTGATCATTCCATTCCCGAAACGAAAATAAGCTACCCTAACATAAGCGAAAAACATTTGTACCATTTGCAATGTTTGGGGTTAGGCAAACAATCCGCACTTTTAAAATTTAAGTGGCTTAATTCAAAATTCTTATCTTTTGGTAAGCGCTATTGTGAATTGAAGAATTCACACTTTTTTTAGTTTTTCTATAGAGATAGTTTGTCTATTACGGGAGACTATTTAATAAAAACAAACTTATAGAATACATCTTCATAGGCAGTTCAAAGTATAAAACTCTTTTTCTTAAAATTTTCAAGTTAAGTCACTTGAATTCTAAAGCTGCGAATTGTTCATCGACATTGCCCTTTAGAATCGTTTGGGTCTTCTTAGTAAATTATCACATTGTTTAGTATTAGAATACTTATGTATAATAATGAATGAAGCTTTTGTTTATGACGAAGCTTAATGTAACGCGAAAATAATGCAAACACATCAGATCATACCGACACTGGTGGTAGGGGGTGTGTGAGCATGGATAGATGCTACCACACTGCCTACTTCCTAACGCATTCCGATTCGAAGGGTAGGGCAGTCTTTGTACTATATAGCTGAGACTTAGAGCTCCCGGCTCAAGCTGGATTGCGATGTTTAGGTTTTTTTTAATGCTTAGATAGGTGGACGATCTCACAGCCCACATGGTGTTAAGTAGTTACTGGAGCCCATAGACATCTACAACCGTAAATGCGCCACCCACCTTGAGATATAAGTTCTAAGGTCTCAGTATAGTTACAACGGCTGCCCCACCCTTCAAATCGAAACGCATTACTGTTTCACGGCAGAAATAGGCAGGGTGGTCATTTATGGACTCCGTTAACCACTTGACATCAGATGAGCGTCACACGTCTAAGCTACAGAAAAGTCATCGATCAGCGTTTAACTTGACTTTAACTCCGATATTACCGCTCAGATAAAAAATCATTAATACAGAAATTTTCGTTAAGGAGTTTGTTATTGTTATCGCATTGTAATCGTCAGCTATGCCACTTGTCTAGTCTCAGCCAGATTGTCTGTTTCGCTTTCTTAAATTTCCTGTTAACTGCTTATCGATATCATTAAAAAACGACTATGTACTGTAAAATATAAGGTAGATTTTGGCACGCAACGGAATACAATTAAAAATGTATCGCCGAGCTTTTTTTCTCATACCTATGCTGATAGCCTTGAGAGGCTATATCAGCGTTACCCAAGCGTGTAGGTGAGCTCATGGGGCTCAAACCGGAGGTATTGCTAGCATTGGCCCTAGCAAGTGCAGTGCTTCGCTGAATCTACCACCGGATCGGAAACGCGACCCACTCAAAAGATCCGGCGAGAAACTCAGTGGGCTGTGTCTGTGGGTTAAAACGCCGCGTGAAGACATCTGTATCCTATGCCAGCAACGATTCGCGAAGCAGACTTTAGAAAGAATCTTTGACCATTGACTCCGTATTTACAGAATTAGCGTACTTGTAAATTTCAAAATTAAGCGACCCGATATAGTTCGCTGAATATTAGTAGCAAAACAAGTTGGTCCCTATGAAAGGTGTGTGCTGAAGTAGGTTTTTTGCCGTAGGAGGGTTATTTCGCTCAAACGGAGGACATTGAGGGCTCCCCAAGCGTGGACGGAGCAAGACGACCGATGCCCTGGATGTTAAAGGTAAGACAACAGTCGGTAAAACATACCTTTTGTCAGCAAAATTCATGGCTTCAATTAACCGGGGCAGTTCGTAAATGCTGCCACGGACATTCTAAACTAACAAAGGGAATATTTTTGAAAACCAAATCTATATAATGATACGCGAAGCAAAAACTTTGAACCCCTTTTTACGAAGATTTCCCGGACGAAGGAGTATGAAATTTCCCACACTTTTAAATAATATATAGAAGGAGTGCAGAATGCTAATATTTTTTATAAATTATGCAATAATAATACATTAAATCAATAAAGAAAACATTACACATACTACCATGNGGAATATTTTTGAAAACCAAATCTATATAATGATACGCGAAGCAAAAACTTTGAACCCCTTTTTACGAAGATTTCCCGGACGAAGGAGTATGAAATTTCCCACACTTTTAAATAATATATAGAAGGAGTGCAGAATGCTAATATTTTTTATAAATTATGCAATAATAATACATTAAATCAATAAAGAAAACATTACACATACTACCATGTATTTGATACACACACATACATAATAATATATATGCTCCATGCTAATTGTCAATCTTTTGTTATTGCTCAGTCTGTGGTCGAATAAAGGATAGTTTAATATTGTTTATATTTAATATTATTTGTCTATAGTGTAATCTTGGCAAAATCTGTGATTATAAATAGAAGTAGAATAGCCTTTGACAATAGAACCTTAATAATGTTCAAACTTATAATTTAAATTAATTATAGTCGAATTTCGACTACGGCGGGACCACTAGTCTAGACAAAGAGCTATCAAAAACTCTATATTTATCTATGGATTGAATGACATTCGACACAAATCCGGAAGGGATCATAGAGAACGTAACTTGAGCATATTTTTTTTCTTATTTATCGACAAAAGGCACAATATTTAAACAGTAAACACTGCTATTGAACTTCAAGACATAGATTATTAAAGTCATCGAAAGATTGTTTTTTCATGCGATGTTATTGTGAGCGCAATCTTCGTTTATCACTGCCCCGGCCTTCGCTGATACGCATAAAAAACCCAAAATAAACTGTACTAGTGACCCCTGGTAGTCGAAATTCTTACCGTCGACGCCCTAGACACGTCCTTACGTATCCATCAGATCCAATAACCTTTGCATTAGACGCCATCATCTCTAACACTAGGAGCAGGCTTAGGGACTCCGGTAACCGTACTCGTCGAACTCGACAAAGAGTTCGCCGTGCAACCTAACCCATGAATCAGCTCGCTGAGTTTCTCGCCGGATCTTCTCAGCGGGTCGCGATTCCGATCCGGTAGTAGATTCATTCGCGAAGCAGCTACTCTTGAGCTGTTAGGTCTCCTTCGGAGGCGCTCGGGTAGCTGTTAGCAAATCCCACCCCTCCTGGNGCAACCTAACCCATGAATCAGCTCGCTGAGTTTCTCGCCGGATCTTCTCAGCGGGTCGCGATTCCGATCCGGTAGTAGATTCATTCGCGAAGCAGCTACTCTTGAGCTGTTAGGTCTCCTTCGGAGGCGCTCGGGTAGCTGTTAGCAAATCCCACCCCTCCTGGCTGAGCCTTTGCTCGCCCATCTGTCCTGGTGAAACTGGAAAGGCCTCCGGGCCAACAGTAATCCTTCAATCATAAAAAAAATTAATTAAAAAGACTATAATTAATTAAAATTTTATGTTTGTACACTATTATGATTCTATTGTCAAAGAATTGACATGACAAAGACATATTATATACTTCTATAGTCACAGAGTTTGACAATAAACGAAGAGTATATGTGTGTGTGTCAAATACATGGTAGTGTGTGTAACGTTTTTTTTATTGATTTAATGTATCTTTAATGCATTATTTAAAAAAAATTATTAGCATTGTACACTTCTTCTCTATATTCTCTATGAGTGTGGAAAATTTCATACTCCTCCGTCCGCGCAATTTTCGTAAAAAGGGATACAAAGTTTTTGCTTCACGTATTAATAATATATAGATATAAGTGCGAACGACATTTAGCAAAAAATTGTAATGTAAAAATAAAAATATCGTTGTAATTCGATAGACAATCGTTGTTTTAATATCGAACCGTGGATAATCGATTACAAATCAAATTTGCTGTATCAAAAAAATTAATGTCGCTTCTAAGAACCCTCCGTAATAGTTGAGCTCCAATACAAGGATAGTTCTGAATAACATTTTTTTTATTTATTGCTTAGATGGATGGACGAGCTCACAGCCCACCTGGTGTTAAGTGGTTACTGGAACCCGTAGACATCTACAACGTAAATGCGCCACCCACCTCGAGATATAAGTTCTAAGGTCTCAGTATAGATACAACGGCTACCCCACCCCTCGAACCGAAACGCAGTACTACTTCACGGCGGAAATAGGCGGGTTGGTGGTACCTACCCGTGCGGACTCCCAAGAGGTCCTACCACCAGTGATTACGCAAATTATAATTTTGCGGGTTTGATTTTTATTGCACGATGTTATTCCTTCACCGTGGAAATCAATCGTGAACATTTGTTCAGTACGTATTTCATTAGAAAAAATTAACTTGTGTATATATATCGACGCTTGAAAGGCAAACGTGACTAAAGCCTTGTTCGGACTAGGCGAGTATTTTGGTCGAGTGAGTACCGAGTAATTTAGTGACTAAACTACTCGCTGCTCGCCCGAAAAAATAGATTGACTTGACTAAATTATTTACAAACCTACTCGACTAAATTTTTGGTGCTCAGACACATTTAGTTACTAAATTACTCGGTACTCGACTAGAATACCCGCCTAGTCCGAACAAGGCTTAAGCGACAATGCGTGAACTTTTTGCCCACTGAGTTTCTCGCCGGATCTTCTCAGTGGGTCGCGTTTCCGATCCGGTGGTAGATTCTGCGAAGCACTGCTCTTGCTAGGGTCAGTGTTAGCAACTCTCCGGTTGAGCCCCGCGAGCTCACCTACTAACGTTAGGGTGAAGCTGAAATAGCCTCTCAAGGCTATCAGCATAGGTAGGAAAAAAAAAAAAAAAAAAAATTCATCAAATTAAAGGTNACAAACAAAATTTATTTTAACGAATCTAGCTGTAGCAGAATCTAGCTAGTAGCTGTAGGATTGAAATGATTTTAATAGACCTAGAAATATATTTTTTTGCACATCGAATATGGTTATTGCCTATCATTTATGTACAAAGCAGTTATTGTCGCTTAGTCACGTTTGCCTTTCAAGCGTCGATATAAAAAAAAAAAATGGTATTCGTGAAAGAAGTGAAACTTCATTTGCGGAGTGTAGTACTCTGTTTCTTCATTTTTCATCACCATCCTTAAATCTAATTTATTTTATAATAGGGAATGATGCGTATAAGAGAAACGACCTAGCACGCTTTGTCCTTTCCCTCACTCCACGGTCAAGTGGTTCACGAGACGCTGTGTATTTTCTCACTCTGGCTCTTCCTAAATTGTATATTTTCGTAAGGAATCTATCGCGAATCAAATTTTACTCTCAACGCGCCTAAAGAAGGTTTACTTGAAGAACTTTATAAAGTCGTTAGACTAACTTTTCCAAATGACTTGTTAGTACTGATGAGGGGTATATGTGAATATGCGATCTCATTGGAGGCACAAAGATCATTGTCAACCACTGCGTCGTCTATTTTAAGCTTGTCTTCTTCAACCAGTGTCCAGCCATAGCCAGGTGTAGGCCTTTTGCATCCAATCCAGTGGTATTTTGAACCTCTTCTTTCTCCTTGCGTCGTATTCCTCACTACTGATGGTCGTGACCTTTTTGTATCACCTTCGCACGCACGATCTTTCGTCCCGTCTCTTCAATTGCCATACTTAAAAAAAGAACATTGACTTGGAATAGAACAGGCTAGGAATAGAATAGCTAGGCTTCAGTTCAGCTCTCAAGATAGCAAACATTAAACAATTTAGGGGAAAAATATAAATAAACAATAACAATGTCGTGTACTCATTTTCCTAAATTGAGTGAAAGTCTCCCATCTCCCATTGGCAGTTTCATAGTACTACACCATAAAATTAATTACGTATTCATTAAAGTAATGCATCTAAAGGCATTGAATGTGGCCACGCCTGTCCACTTACTAATAACTTTGAACATCAAACTTATACTATATGTTAACACGCAACAATTTTCAGTGAGCACCACCCCTAAAATATTGCATTTACCAGAAAAAGTATTTCGATGTGACATAACGAACAGCAATATTCTAATTAAAAAAATTTAGGGCTGTCCAAAATAAACACTGTTACAAAATTCGCTTCGGGTTGTCGCGAGATATAATTAAAATTACTTTTACTGAATCTGGCTTTTTTATGACGATCGCAGAACTATTTATGCCTTTATTTTTAAGCTAATGCATAGCTTTTATGGCGGGCTTTGAGCGCGGCGACTGAATCAAGAAATTCCGAAACGAAAATAACCTGACATTACGCCTACTATGTAGCTCGCGTTCAACACATTCACACGTTGCGCTGGTGTAGTGTTTGTGAATAAGCGCGCGGCGTGACGTCGCACTGCATGCGCATCATGAAAAGTCTGCCCATCTCTCTCTCACGCGGTCTAGCTTATGAGTGTGAAGGGGACAGTTAATGTTTTGCTTTTGTTAATGTTTATAAATATAGCGTGGTCTTATTTTTATTATTGTTTTAATATTAAATTATTATTGTCTAATTGTAATTGCATAAGTTGATAAAAAATGCTTTGCAATAGCTTTACCGCGGCAGTCCCCNATCTCTCTCTCACGCGGTCTAGCTTATGAGTGTGAAGGGGACAGTTAATGTTTTGCTTTTGTTAATGTTTATAAATATAGCGTGGTCTTATTTTTATTATTGTTTTAATATTAAATTATTATTGTCTAATTGTAATTGCATAAGTTGATAAAAAATGCTTTGCAATAGCTTTACCGCGGCAGTCCCCGAGTGCCACACGTGTTTTTTTTAATATTATTATCATCTATTTACATGATAATTTTCATGTTTAAGCTTCTTCAATTTTGTATGCAAATTAACATAGAGCTATGCATTTATTTAAGGCTGGAAATAAACACGTGTCAAGTAGGTATGAGTTGAGAAAAATTGGTATGCAATACCGGGATTAATATTGTGACGTCACTTGTTACGTGTACACCGGGCGTCTTACCCATAAAAAGGGTCACGCCTCTTGTAGCTTACAAATAAAATATGTATACAAATAAAGCTTACACTTAACAAAGCTCACAAATGGAAACTGCAACTGTAATGCCGTGTGCAAATGATACAGGTTTACAAACATCGTCTTTCTGGATTATATCGAATAAAAATATATATAATAATTTGCTCTTTCACACAAACAATTCTCGATTTATAACCATCAATAAATAAAAATAGATAAAACGTATTATCGTAAGATTTGTCTGTGTTCTTATCGTTTCTTTAAAATTAAATTATTATTTTTAGCATCAATCGTCGGCGGCCCATTAGCTCAGTTGGTTAGAGCGTCGTGCTAATAACGCGAAGGTCGCGGGTTCGATCCCCTCATGGGCCATTCTTTTTCTTACCGCTATTTTTGAATTAGATCGGGTTTGGTCTGGCTTGAAGCTATGTGATTACCAAAGACTTCACAAACGAAATGCCACCTTCAAACACGAGACTCAAGTTTGAATTTTGCTCGCGTTCAACACTGATAGTGACTTCATTGATATAAAATTTAACCACCTGTTTCTATTGTCGTAGGGCGCGCCTCCTGGTCCTTGGGACATGAAGGGCGCGCATGCCCACGCTCTCCATCACCAGGGAGCCCCACAGCCTCACCCACCATACGTACCGCAGTATTCCTGGTATCAAACGGACGCGAACCCTGGACTTCTAACGTGAGTATTAAAACAGTTTCTCAATAATTATTGTGTTCAAACAATAGTACCTTTAGTTCGTCTCAATTGTGACCTATTTAAATAGCATTAAAATCTAATCAACATTCTTTTATTTTACAACGTTCCATTAAAACTATATTCATGTTTTAATAATTGAATTACAACAAAAAAAAACCTATTGTTTATTCACCGTTTTAATAATTAAGATATTAAAAGCTTTAACGGGACTTAAAGCGGATATATTTATTAATAAAACAGGCTTTACTCGCAGGGTATGGCCGGCAGTTTAGCACATTACGGACACAGAAACGAGTGACAAAGTGAAATGAGATCGCGGACACGCAAAATCGATGATAAAAGATGGCCGGCTCAACAAGATGGCCGCCTCAACAAGATGGCCGCCTCAACAAAATGGCCGCCTCAACAAGATGGCCGCCCCCAGACGCCGTTCTCCTTTCGTAAATGAAAAAGGCACAACCAACTTTTTTGAAATAAGAAAAATAATTTAAACATTAAAAGACCATTGTAAATTTTTTTTTATAATTAATTAAAACAATAAAAATAAGATTTGTTCATAATGTAATTGTAAATGTTATGTATTGAATATTGACACGGAATGCGGGATGTGTTCGTATATCTTTAATTGAATACTGCCAGCTCTGAATTATGTTTCAAAAATAATTGACTGTTTTTAAATACTTTCCTAACAGATAGTGTTGCAAAAATATCATTATTACAGCAATTTACATGAATTCGTTTTTTTTTTAAATCACTGCAATTTTTTATCAATGAACATAATTAATTTATGAAGGAAATCATTTATGTAATTGTAAGCTTTAATTTATATTATGTCGTTTAGAAAAATAAATTATAAATCCTAAACGGAAGGCACAAAAAAGTTTATTGTGATAAATCATTTTTAAAAGTTTTAAACCAAATTTACAAGTACTGTGAAAAATTGAAAAATTATAATTCGATGATACCCTTTGCCTCAATTAGTTTTATGACATCTGTAAAAAAAAGAAGCTCAAATCAATATTTCTATGATATTAAAATCTCTCATATGAGTATTGAACAAAAACGTATAATACTTTAGATCACAATCAACATTTCTAAATAAAAAATGGTCCTTGAATTGTCAAAAATACTATCGATAAGTAAAATCGATTAATAGCAACGTTACCCATTTAATTTTTTTTATTCTCTGTTCGAAATAGCAAAGTTCCTTTTGCACATTTTTTTTTTTAAATTTAAAAATGATGCATAAACTGCAAAACAAAATGTATTCTATTTTATTGCAATATCTTTATTTGTAAAGTAAAGTAAACTATTCAAGCTTACCGCCTATGTAATTAAAATGTTTTAATTCCAATTATCTTTTTTTTTCTTTTTCTTTTTATCATGAATCTGTCGAAGCGGAAAACATGAATAGATTACTTTATGTGAATGAATATGCTAAAAAGGGTGTTACGGGATGTTTTAATAATAAAATAAATTGTGTAAATAGTTTTTTTTTTTTTTTTGTAATATATAGAAAATATAAATATAATTAAATCTCTAGATAGCATAAATTACTTTATAATTATATTGTATGTACGCTGTAAGGAACGTGGAAATAAGAGAAAAAGTGAATTAATTTTTTTTTGTCAAATAAAAAAAGTAAAATATCTTCTTTTGGTATTTATTTTTTCCCAAATCCGAATAGGTACATATTATAAAGAATATTTAATACGTATGCGACGTAGGAATGGACGTAGGATGGAGGAGGAGGAGGAGGAAGAGCGCCAGCTAGATGGGTTGACCAACTCAAGGAGGTGACTGGAGGCCAGATATGGGGAGCGGTACATATGGCGCAGAACCGGACCGAGTGGAGAAGATTGACATACAGTCACGATCCTCAGCATTGAGGGAACGACCAGAAAGAATGCGACGTATTCATTTTTTTTTTTTAATTCGGCCCACGGATCTCTTAAAACAGCCAACACTGTATATTTGATTAACGAAAGAAATATAAAAAAATATTGAAGACCACCATTAAAATATTTTCATAATTAGAATATGATTATAACATTAGATAATTTAATATAGACAACAGACGACAAAAAATCAAAGTCCTAGTATCTTAGACCGTTAGGCCTAAATTGCTACTACCAGTATACTACCTAGCTACCGGTGTAGCAGCACCGGTATGCCTATAAACACCACAACATAAAAATTCTTGAATTTTTGGCGGGAATCCAAAGCGTCGTACGAAATGTTTTACTATGACAATCCAATTCTTCGGTGGATGCAAAATTATTAAAATTATAAGAACATCTTTAAATATAAATCAAATTGGAGTGTCTGTTTGTAAAATTGAAATATGTAATCGCTTTTTTCTACATGCATATGAATTTATATACATACGATACATACATTTTTACCATTTTTGTCGCTCTGTTTGTTCCGGCTAATCTCTGGAACGGCTGGACCGATTTTGACGAGACTTTCACTGATAGGTAGCTGATGATAAAAGGAGTAACTTAGGCTACTTTTTTAGACTAGCTTTGCCCCGCGGCGTCACCCGTGGTACGACAATAACCACGGGTAACAACATCGCGGGACTCAGCTATCAATAATAAAATTTAATGTTTCCGAAGCGAAGCGAGGGCGGGTCGCTAGTTACTAATATAATTCGCGCTTATAAAGTGTTTACGCATCAACTCCTCCTTCGCAAAGTCGGGAAAGACGCAGGCAGCGCGGCGAGGGAGGGGACGGCAAACCGGCGGACGGGCGAGCTGCGCAACGCGTAGAACAAACACAACCACCTTCACTTCTGAACGGGACCAAAAGCTACAAGACGCACAATATTATGTACAATATTATTTTGCATTAAAACTAAAAAGAATTCAATAGTATTTGTAATTTAACGGCAGACTTCACAAACCACCTAAGAAACAAAACACAAAGGAAATACAGTCTAAGAATTCACAATCAATAACATAAAGTGTTAAATATAAAAAAATGATAATTATTTTCATGTAATACAAAGGTTTTTTTAATTGATTATCTTGTTAACAATATACATTATAGTTATAGAAATTTGTTAATAGTACAAAACCACAAAATGCCTCTGCCATATCTCTTTCAGAATTGTTCTAAATGAAGACGGTTGCCTGGGAACGGCTTTTAGCAATAAAACCGCTTACAAATTATACCTGCCTATTGGCTTACCATCATGTGCACTATATCATCACTAAATAAATAAATAAATGATAATAATAACGGGGAACATATCACACACGGTCATCCAGCTTCAATGGTGACGTCACACTTTATAATACCACTCCGAGGTCCGAAAGACTAATGGTAAGCCCTCGTATATTCCCAATCGGTTCAGGACTCCAACGTACGACCCACATGCCCTCAGGCTGCGCGACAAAAACCTGACTCCTTTCGCGCTGATACCGTCACACAAAAAGCAATCGAACCACAAAGACATTTCAATAAGGGCGCATCGTAATTGTCAGCGGATCGCGATTTTAATTACCGCCGCCGCTCTTTTTCTCGCTCGCGTCCGTGGCCTAATGATCAAGACGCCCGTGTGACGTGCCGCGATCCAAACTCTAAGGCAGACTACGACTAAGAAGTTTTCTGTCTACTTTCATTTCGTCTTGTGAACCACCCTAAGAAGTCGCTTGTTTTACTGGTGGTAGGACCTCTTGTGAGACCGCGCGGGTGGGTACCACCAACCCGCTTATTTCTGCCGTGAAGCATAATGCGTTTCGGTTTGAAGGGTGGGGCAGCCGTTGTAACTAGACTTGAGATCTTAGAACTTATATCTCAAGGTGGGTGGCGCATTTACGTTGTAGATGTCTATGGGTTCCAGTAACCACTTAACACCAGATGGGCTGTGAGCTCGTCCAGCTATCATAGCAATAAAAAAAAAATTGGTCGAAGACATAGTTCGCTCGCTCGACGAAGCTGGCATAAGCCGTCGAGGTTACCAGCATAGGTAGGAAGAAAATCGACCTTTAGAAAGAGACAATCAGCTAATTTCGGTTTCGTATGGCGTTATCTCTGTCGCACGCTACCTAGTGTGTTAGCAAATTCTCTCAGATTAAGCTCGTGAGTTCTGACCTACCCATCAGGGCGTTGTTGAAGGGCCAGAGTATAACTTAATAGAGACAAAAAAAGATCAAAACTGTATCCTCTGCCGTCAAAAAACGAAGAACACAAAACAAAATTCATTAATATCACATTATAATACCGTTATTTTTACTAAACTAACAAAAAAAAACCCAGACCATATGCGCTAAAACGCAACGCCTACATCTTCAAGTGTCACATTCAAAAATGAACAAAAAAAAATTATTAAAAAAAAAATTAATTCAAAAAACACTCGCGCACAAAATAGCTTGGAGCCGTGTAAGTGAATAAAGAACGGAAACGCAACGCCCACGGAACCCTTTTTAAAAAAATAATAAAACAATCTTTTGTGTAACGAAGGGCCCGTACAAAGGTATTGATACAATGGAATCTTACGTGAAAAAGTCCCTTTTTAGGGCGCCATCTGCCGTGTTCGTTTTCAATTCAAACGTTTTCGTATTTTTATTTTGTTGCTTTTTAAATATGGTCAGTCGATGTTTCCTTATTCAAACAACCAAGCCTTGTTGTGAACATCAGAAAATGTGCTATGATCTCTCTCTCTCTCTTCGATCGGTTCCTCACTGCTGAGGATCGTGACTCCGTCCGATTTCGTCAACCAACTGTCTCCATCGATCCCGCCCTGCAGCCCGGTGGAGTGCGTCGCTGATAGGCATCCCCAGTTCCTCCGCTATTTGGTTCGACCATCGTTTGGGACCTCTACCCCTAGGCCTTTTTCCCTCTATTTTACCGGTCACAAGGCGTTCCAAATTGCTGGTATCCCTACGTGCAACATGACCAAAATACCGCAATATTCTTTGTAGGCAGATTGTGGATAGACGTTGAATCTTTTCTATTTTTAACTGCCTGAGAATAGATATGTTGGTGCGGCGGGCCGTCCATGGTATTCGTAGCATACGTCGCCAGCACCACATCTCAAAAGCGTCGATTCTCTGCCTATCTGCGGCTTTGAGTGTCCACGTCTCTGCACTATATAGAGCAATGGAGAAGACAAGGGTGCGGACCAGATGTGCTATGATATTATGAACAAATTTGCTAAAAATCCATACGCGCCATATGTTGTTCGTTGGTACAACAAAAAGCTTCCACGAATTATATGCAGCAATTGCACAAAACTCGAAGTCAACTGATGCTATATTTACCAACGCACAGACAGTCTAAATAAATTGTATTTTGTATTTGTCTTGCCTTGAAAAATATATCTATACTAATTAATATACAAATCTACAGTGGTTTTTACGGATGTTCCGTTATAACTACTGAACCATGCATCCGATTGACTTGAAACTTGGTATCCATGTAGAAAATACATCTACTTAATGGATAGTCTAATATTTATATGAGTGTTGGACTGCCTATTAATAATGACAATAAATTTTAATAATAATGTTAATTTTAAATGCCTAGCGAAGTGGGCGAGTACGGCTTGTACATATATATATATATATATTGGTTGTCTGTAAAGTCGGTTTACGGACGATATTTTTACATGATAACATCGTAAAGAAACATTGATGAAAAATTGCATACTTTTATGAATTGAATTAAATCAGTGAATTATCAATATTGTGTATAATACAAAGAAGGAGTTAATTGAAAACAAATTTTTTTTTCGATAAATCAACGCTTGAGCCGATCTTGTCTCTCTATCGCTTGTTCCGCCCTCTCGCTTGCACGCTCAGGCTCAGGCGGAACGTGACACTTTTTCGTGCGTGCAACCAGTGTTCATCGATATTTTTTATTGCTTAGATGGGTGGACGAGCTCACAGCCCACCTGGTGTTAAGTGGTTACTAGAGCCCATAGACATCTACGACGTAAATGCGCCGACCTTGAGATATAAGTGCTAAGATCTCAGTATAGTTGCAGTATAGTCGATTTATAAGACACTAACCGTACTCGCCCACTTTACTGGGCATTTAAAATTAACATTATTATTTATTGTCATTATTATTAGGGAGTTCAACACTCATATAAATATTAATTAGCCTATCCGTTAAGCACACAGTATTGTCTACATGGATACCAAGTTTCAAGTCAATCGGATGCATGGCTCAGTATTTATAACGGAACATCTGTAAAAACCACTGTAGATTTATATATTAGTATAGATATAGATTATCACGTTAATAAAATTAAAATTCATATCTGTAGATAATGCAATAAGTTGCTATCAAGCCATCTTCGTTCTTAAGCTAAACCGATCAACGTACATATTCCTATTCTTGGTTTCCTAATATCTCGTAATATACTTCATTCGTTCCAAGAAGAACTCACTCAGAATCGTCGTGGCGTAAAGGATAAGACGCCCGGTGTATCGACAGATGCGACTAAGTCAGTGTTCGAATACCGCAAACGGCACCAATTTTTCTAAAGAAATACCTACTTAGCCCTCGTTCGAATGACTACCACGATACAGTAATAGCGTCTTGTAACAAAAATCACGTCATGACCTATAGCTCATACACACATGAACTCTTTCCAGTTCATCCAATCCTGTTTCTGCAGAATAGCCGTCGGAGCAC